TCTGGTGAGTCTTGTTAAACTGGCTGAAATTTTTGAGGTTTGTCCTGCATATGCTGAGAAATTTACCTGCATTTACTAGCACAACCTGTCTGTTAAAAGGGGCTTGCCCAGTACATTTGTACTAGAAGTGATTTGTCATGCTCTTTTCAAGAGCATTTACTTTTGTGGTGATGTTTGAGTTCATCCTTCATGAGCCTAAAGTAATTCAGTAGTGGTTTTTTGTATTTATGTTCAATGAGGAAAAAGTCTAATCTCCACCTGACTACCACTAGCTGTTCATTTTAATGCTCTTAATTTCTGTATGGTGCATGTGTTAAGTTTTACAAAACTGAAACTGACAACTTGAGATTGGTATAAGGCTCTTAATTCTTTGGTGCTTTGTGTGCCATATTCTTATGAAACAAAATCTGATTTTGGTCATATTCAGAAACAAGGTGAGGTGCCAAATAAGTCAGTGCAACTGTTACTAAAGTCACTGGAGCACTGAAGTGTTATATCTGCTTGGTTGCTTCTGCTATTTAATAATTTAAAAATAATAGAGAGGTATGAGCTGACTCTTAAGATACTTGCCTTGTATGTATTTTTTGGGTGGTGGGTTAATTTTCTTAGCTCCTCAAGGAATACAGAAATGACCACCACTGTTCCTGTAGTCATGGAATGCAAACCTTTACGAAATCTTTACCAAATATAGTGAAGTTTATAGAGGTATGAAGTTATGCCATCGTCTTTCTTAAAAGGAAAGTGTTCTAGCATCTGCTTGCAGTGTCCTGGCTATGTTTACAGAGACTGCTGTAAATTGGAAGGAGGTGAGAAGGATGAATGATGAATTGTTTCAAAATTAATTCAGAAAAATTGGATGACATTAGCACAAAGATACTTTCTGGCAATTCTTTCCAGCTAAGCAGCTTTATGGAAGTCTGCATCTGCATTTTTCTTTCATACTTCTAAACCTCTTCAAGTTTCCAGTAGAAATTCTTAATTCAAGTGGTTTGGTGCTTAGCAGTAACAATCTGGGTCAAATAATATGGCCTGAGCTATTCTAAAAGTGGATGCAAACAAATCAGAAAATTTATGGCAAATGGCAAGAACATGCCAAGTGTGTACTTGAACAGCAAAGCTCTGTGTGTGGAAATTTAATGTAAAGTTCCCTTTGTAAATCTGTGTAATTTGGCTTTCACTGACTGCAGTATCCTAATTTCTGGTAGTCCTTCTTCCCTTTGGTTTTTTTGTTCAGAACTTCACTCAGCATCTGCAGCTCTACAGAATGCACTGGCTCATTTAATTGTCAACTGTGTTCCAGTGAGAATGAACTGCTGCATGCCCCAAAATGGTCATAGCAGCTCTCAGATTGCTTCTGAGACAGAGGGCTTCATTCAGAATTCTAACAAGCTTGGGACCTCGGGGCTTGCCTACACAGTAAAATGACTTCGGCATGTAGAGGCAAACCCAGGGCTAGTTTTAATTAGCTTTGGTAACAACAGCAGTAAAGACAGAGCAGCACAGGTTCAGCAGGTGTGAAGTGAGGGGGCAGCCTACTGTGATAGCAAACATATTTTGATTGAAAACATACCTTGAAAAGTCAAGTTGGCCCATCTCTATTGTTAATTGTTACAGTACTGGGGAAACTGCTGGCTGGTTTTGGTTGGTTGGCCTGAGCCATGGATACATCCTTCAGCCATGTCTGGGAATTGTGTTTCCAGAAAACCTGCACACAAGGAAGGTTCTTAGCCACAGAATAGTTTTGGTTGGAAGAGACCTGAAAAATCATCTCGTTCCAGCATGCCTGCTGTGGGGAGGGACACCTCCCACTAGACCAGGTTGGTCAGAGCCCCTTCCAACCTGGCCTTGAACACTTCCAGGGATGGAGCAGCCACAGCTTCTCTGGACAACCTGTTCCAATGCCTTAGCACCCTCACAGAAAAGCATTTCTTCCTAGCATCTAACCTAAATTTCCCCTTTCTCAGCTTGAAAATACTAAGTTCCTGTAGGTGAAGGCAGGAAAATAATCCTGCATGGCGTTTCTTGGGTGTGGACTTTCTCTTTGATCCTGTTCCATGACAGCTTATGTGTAAGTGTTAGGGTGTATGACAAGGTATATATCACGGTTTGAAATAAGGCAACGCTGGAACTAAGGTGCTATTTAGTAGTATTATAATTTGCAGTGCTTTTGGGGTAGGTCATCTCCCTGACTCTGGGACTTCTACGGATACATCAGATGTCTGAGACCTGGGAAAGTTGCTCTTTCTGCTGTCTCAAGGGACTTTGTGTGTGTGAATGAGACTTCTGTTCATTGCTCTGTTTTGCAATCGGCACCCATTATTTTACAACAAGAGACAGCCAGTGTTTTCACTGCTGTGATGGGAATATGGGAACAATGGGATACACACCCTCTCCTTGTGTTTTTGCTGGAGCCCATAGCCAGAGCTGTGCAGTCCTTCACATGATCACAGATGGTAGGGACATGGGAGAAGACAGGGATGTTAGCATGGCATCACCAGGAGTCCTGATCATGCTTCACCACTGATGGCAAGGAGGAGGGTGAAATATATGCTTTGTTTCAGGTGTGGGGGCCCTTTCTCTTCCCATTGCCTTGTGGCCCCAAGGGAACCAATCCCTGCCTTTTGTGTCCCCCAAATTCCTCCAACTCAGGTGTGAATCACTTTCCTTCCTTCAGGGATGGACTCCAATCTTTCTAGACCAACCAGTTACTGTTTTGGAAAAGTGATGCCAAATGTCCTTTAATATACGTTGGCAAAAATAGAGGGGATGGGGGCAATCTACTCTACAGAGCAGGAAAAGCAGTTTTCCAAGGTCGTTCCAAGTCTCTAAAAGGGAAAATATCCCAGTTTTCACAGGCAATCATATCAGCACTTGTCCTGGAAGACCATTTTTACTTTTAAATTTGCATTTTGTTTCCACAGTTTTGCTATTCTTCCTTCTAGAGTATAAAGAGTCCTTTTTCTGTTAAAGAGGGCAAGTCTCCAAATGTGATACATTTGGACACTTAGAGCTGTTCTGCGCCTCTGTTTCCACTGTTATAACTTCTACCTGTGTGGAATTAAACCCCTCTTTACATGTTCAGAGCTGTTCAGCTACTTTGATTTCTGCTTTTTAAACCCAGTCTAATTGATGCTTAATCAGTTGGCATGGGAAGAATGGAAGGATCCCAGGAAATAAATGGTAGCAAACTATGTGTCATGGCTACAAACGGTTTCTATTTGGGGTGGGAAATGGTTTTTAATTATTTTCTATAGAGACTGTAGAGAGATGGAACAATTGTTCAAATGAAATTATTTCCATGAGCTCACAGGCAATAAGCCTTGCTTATCCAACCATGTAAAACAAAGAAAACTCAGGCAATTAATTTAACGAGAGTACTTGGGACATGGTATCATTCTGAATGGACGAGCCTCAGGAAACAGCTATTTTGAATCACAGGAGGATAAGCATACAAAACAGTATCCCTGTGCAACAAAATCCCTCTTAGCTGGGTGCCAAAAATTGGTCTATTAGAGACATGGGGTATTTGCCCAAACCTCGACTTTTGGGATAAGCAAATTCCTTTTTAAATACTCAGTAGTGGCAAGTAAAACTTACGTGTGACTTGAATTGCTGGTGCTTGTGAGAGAGAAGGTGCCGTTTCATACCAGCAAGTTAAATATGTTCTTGGGACAAGTCATTACTAGATGGAGACCTTGGCTACCATGAAATTGGTATCTCTTTTCTTTCTGGCACAGAAGGAGAACATAAATCACTTTTCTTTCCAGCAAGCTTTTTTGTAGAATGTTACAATAACAGCTAGTGAAACAGCTTCTTTTCGGCAAGTAGTAGGGGGCTCTTACAGTTGGCCGGAGAAAGATGCACTGTGAGTAGCAGTATCTAAAGTACCTTTTTTTTTTTTTTTTTTTTTTTTTTTTAAGGAATTCTGTTCATGTTCTGCTTGCAGTAAGGGCTGTCTGGTTTAACTTTCAAACTTCTGGATTTTTAAAGCCCTTTATTTTTTCTCCTGTTTCTTGCACATTCCATAGTTTTTCAGTTTTGTAGTTTACTGTTTAATTAACCTTAAATAAAAAAAAAAACAGTTGGGTGGTTGGGGGTTTCTTGTTTCCATTAATGAAAGAGCAAACCAATGAACCACCCATACAGGCCAGTTCAGGAACACAAATCCTCATACCAATAGCTCCCATCTCACACAAAGTTAATGTAGATATTGAAAAATATCATTACTGCTCCCGTAGCTTCAAGCTGAACTACAGCCAGAGCTCATGCTGGTTTTGGTTAGTCCGGGTTTTGTTGCTTTTGTCGCAAAAGGGAGCGGAGACAGGAGCAGGGCAGCCCAGGGTCTCTCTGTGCCCAGCTGGTGGCGGCGAGGAGCAGGGGCACGGCAGGGCTGCGTGTGTCGGGGTGTGCGGTGGCGGGGCACCTGCGTGGGGCAGGCGCAGGTGACACTGCGGTGTCGCCAGCAGGGAACACCGGACTGCTGCGGTGCCAGCTCGCTGGTGACCTCAGCCGGACTTACCGCTGTGTGCGAGAGGGAGGCGTGCGGGGACACAGACAAGAGATATTGGGAGCTCCTGGAGTGGGTAACTTAACCAAAGGTCTGGAGAATCTCTCTTACCAGGAATACCTGAGGGAACTGGGTCTGTTCAGGCTCGAGAAGGGGTGACTGAGACCCTGTCACCTCATCAATGTGATTACGTACCTAAAGGATGGGTGGCAAGAAGATGGACCAGCCTCTTCTCCGTGATGCCAAGTAATACGACAAGAGACAATGGGCAGACACTGATGCACAGGAAGTTCCACCTGAATACGAAGAACTTACTTACTGCCGAAGTGATCGAGCACGGGAGCAGATCGCCCAGAGAGGTGGTGGAGTCTCCCTCATTCGAGAGGGGGCAGGGAGGTTGGACCAGATGCCCCAGTGTGGTCCCTCCCAGCCTGGCCCGTCCCGCGGTTCTGCTGCCCCCCGGCCGAGGCGAGGCGGCCCCGCCGCGCTGCGTGAGGCGGCGCCCGCGGGCCCGGCGCGGGGGCGGGGTGGCCGCGGGGGCCGGCGGCGGGGCGGCTCCTTCTTTGGCCATGAGCGAGGTGCCGGCATTCGGCCGCCGCCGCCGCCTGCGGGACGCGGGGAGGGAGCGGCCGCAGCGAGGTTCCGCTGGCGGCAGCGGCGGGTGGGATGGCCCAGGCCAGGATCAGCGCCAAGGCCAGCGAGGGGGCGCAGCAGCAGCCGCAGCAGCAGCAGCAGCAGTCGGCCGGGCAGCTCCGGGGCCGCTTCTACCGCTCCACCTCCATGGCTGACCGCTCCAGCCGCCTGCTCGAGAACCTGGACCAGCTGGAGCTCAGGTGAGGCGCGGGGCCGGGCGCTGGGAGGGGGCGGGGGAGCCGTCCGGCCCCGAGCCGGTGGCTGCGCACCGCGGGCCGGCGGCGGGCGCGGAGCCCTCACCCGGCTTTGGAGGTGGGGGGGCGCCGGTGTGAGGCTTCTTGAGCGGACCGAGGGAAAAAGGATTCTCCTGCATGGGGGGAAAAGTTTAAAAATGGGAACTGCTGCTCTAAGGTGAGCTAGCGTGGTCAGGAAATACAGGAAAATAGGAGTGTGGATATGTATGAAAGCAGACGTTTTTCAGAGAAAGCGCGAAGGGCTGCTTCGGATTTGTTACCCTTCAGGGTGCGGGGAGCCTTCAGCAGACGGGAATGTGTTCTGCGAGCTGTGACACGGCGGCTACGAGCCCGCGGTCCGTCCTGTCTGTCGCCCCACCCTGTCGCCCCTATCCCGCATCTGTGGGCAGGTGTTTTATAAGAGGACGCAGGAAATCCGAGGATAAAACGTGGTGTCATTCGGGCTCTCGGAGACTCTGGCAAGCCTTTAAGCTGCAGTGGTGAATGCTGGCGTGTGAGACTCCCTTTGCACTTACTGTTTCAACTATGGATGTTCTTGCTGTGTTTGTGTCCATCTCCTTTCTGAAGCGTATTAAAACGTCTCACTATAAATGTGAGCATTGCATTCTGCAGCTGAGGTGTGTTTTTCCGAAGTTATCATAAATGCTGTGTGAATTTCATCGTTGTGCCAGGACATGTCCTGACTTTTTTCTGCTATTTGACGTTCCCTAAATAATACCATTTGACTTTTTTCCCAGTTTGGCCTCGTGAGAGATGATACCTTGCCTTTAATCATCTTCTCTGTCCTCTCAGCTCTGCTAAATTACATAGTGTCCTTTCTGAGGTGGTGGATGTGCAGGATGTCACTGATTCACCTCCTTTAGTACTGTTTCAACACACCCTTTCCTTCATTACAGCTGCATATTGATCAGCGCCTTTCACAGAGCCACCCAGAATGTTTCTAGGACTTTCCTGTAATTAAAAGAGCTCTGTGGGATGCAGGAGTTTTATTTCTCCTTTCTGCCTGCATTACTTTGCATTATTCAGGAGTGGACTCGATGTGCTGTTATATTAGCCTTTCACTTAGCTTGATTAAATCTTCTTGAAGTCCTTTGCAGACTTCTCTAAATTTGACTAAACAAAATCACTGTCTGCAAACAAGTCTCACTGCTTACATCCAGGTCTAGGTGTATGATAAATATATAATCCAAAGATTAGCATGAGAATATGCAAAAATGTGTTTTAGATTTGCTGGGTGACTCTGAAACAAAGCAGACAGTTTGGTTAGCTAGCAATAAACCCCCAATTAAACTTCCCAGTTTGCTGTGGTTCTTTCAGACAGCCATAATTCTAAATGTAGAATAGTAATGAGGGAAAAAATGTCTAATTTGATAAAAGTTGCTTAAGTCTTATGTTTTTTTTTCTATTCACATCTATTCACATCTATTCTAATCAACATGCTTAATTTCAAATTTATTTGAATGACAGAAGGAAAACCTTCCTTCTTTCTCTTTCTCCAGCTGGTTTGGTTTTCTTACAGACCTTCAAATAAATATAATAATATTTATAATATTTACCAAATACAATAAGTGGAAATGTGTCAAACTGAACTACAGCCTTTAATTAAAACCTCTCAAGTTGCTTTAATTAATGTCAGTTGAACTCTGAAGCAAGCCTCATCCCTCTTGAAATCACAGGATCACAGAATGGTTTGGGTTAGGAGGGACCTTAAAGGTCACCTAGTTCCAACCCCCTGACATTGGCAGGGGCACCTTTCTTTCAGTAGACCAGGTGGCTCAAAGTCCTATCCAGCCTGGCCTTTAACACCTCCAAGGACAGAGTCCACAGCCTCTCTGGGCAGCTTGTTGCAGCCCTCACCCTCCTCATAGTAACGAATTTCTTCCCAATACCTAATCTAAGTCTACCTTCTTTCAGTTTAAAGCTACTGTAAAATTCTCCAGTTTGAACAGCCTTCTGTTTCCTCCTTTTCTTTCCACTGTGAGAGCTTATTTTCCAACAGTAATGGGGTATTTTTCTACCTCCCTGATAGGTGTTTGCAGAGGAGCTTTCTTCTGTATAGAAAGTGAGCAGGGAAGGGGAATTAATTTGGCTGCCAGTGCTTGAGGTAGAGGTGGCAAGGGGGGCAGGTGGCACTTTTGCCTTGGACCTTCACATATTGCTGTGACTGCCAAGATATCTCAGGAGCAGCTGGAAGTGAGACCAGAGGCTCTGTTTATGAGTCACTGTGTTCTGCTGGTTGTGTTAAGTGAAAACACAGTTTTAGGTGTGATGATACATGAGGTAAGTCAGATTCTTGCTGGGTATTTTTTATCTTCATTTTTTTATGCTTTTTATCTTGTTCTTTGGATCAACAGTATTTCCCCATCATTCATTTAAGTGTTCACATGACTGCTTACCTGGGAGTGGACACTCAGCTGAAGGAGCTGAGGATGCCAGGGTGAAACTTTGTTTTGTCTCCCTCCAGTGTGCCTGATTAGCTCCATTTCAGGAAAAAGCTATTCCATCCTCAGATGTTTCTTATTTCCTTTGAAAACTTAGCTGAACCTCCAGCACATGGACTTTAATAGTGGGCTGCTTAAGTCAGTCAGTAGTTTAAAGGACAGAGTTATTGCAGCTGTCCTAAGAAAGCGAGTGTCAAGTTTCTCATCTGGAAACAAAAGCACAGCCTGGTCCACCTGTTTCTCAGGGGAATGCTCTGCTCATGTAAATGGTATGTAGTAAAGAAAGGCATTTCTCAGCTAATTGCTCACAAACAGGGAAAATCAGTAGTAAGGAATGTTTTTCTGTGCTAGGTAATAGATGGAATATTTAGTTGAGGTTCAAAGCAACAAATACACTCCAAGTAAAAATCTGATTGGATGCTTTCATCTCAGAGGAAAAAAGACTATACTGCTGCATCAAAATAATTGATAACTGGGCACAAATATGAGTATTTTGTGTTCTTTTTTCTTTGTGTTCTTTTATTCTTTGGTTGGTTGTTGTTTTTGAGACTTGTATTGTGTTTCCACCCCTTCCCATATCAGTCACCTCTGTTAGAGGTTTAAATCTTCCAACCTTTTATTTGGGTCCCCCAAATAAGGAAAGAAAAAATGTACAGAAACCTTTGAAGTTAAGAAACCATGCATTTTAGGAAAGAAGTTATGAGAACTGACTGCATGGTGTGATCCTGACACATTATTTTCCTGAAGTTGGTATGACTGGTTTCCATTTTTTTGGTTGGTTTTTTTCTCCCACTAGAGGACTGTTCTGAAATGACCCTGTCCCACTGATGTGTGGCACTCTATACTGCAGTTTAAGAAATGGTAAAAATAATTCTGAAGAAGCAATTAAAATAGTTCTTAAGATTTGGTTATATTGCCTTTAGTAAATTAATGTCAATCAAAGCTCTGATTGATTTCTTTTTTTGCGGTATGCAACATTAATTCTGACAATTTGGCTTTTAGGTCCTACCTCACATACCAAGCTGGCCTTTGAAAGCAGTGATATTTTAGGCACTCTCTTTAAAACTGTACCAATTCAAGATACATCTCTGCAATGCAGGTTTTCCAGATTCTTCGTAGGACTCAGCAAAGCCTGTGGAACTCATGGACTGGACTGATTTATCTACTGAAGGCAGAACTTAAGCTTTTATGTCAGTACAATGACATACAGAATCTGATTTAAAAATGTTATCAAAATTGAAATTCTGCACTTCAAAATTTTAATTTACAACTTTCCAGTGACCACAATGCATTTCTTAAATTGTGAAAATACTACTTTTTTTTTAAAAAAAAAAGGTATGGCAAGGAATTTTAAAAATATTGCTAGACTTCCTAAATTAGAAAGTGGAGACATCTGAAGTATGAAATGACGCCACCTGCCTCATCGCTCTTACTAATCAGACCAAAATAATAATTAAAAGTATTTGCTCTTGGCATGAATTTGCATTGCATTAACTTTTCCCACTCCTCCTCAGAACAAACATTAAAGGCAAAGCCTGAAGTCTGTGCTTTCACTGACTAAATTAGGCTAAATATTTTGTAAAACAGAATAATTTTGTGAGCAGGCTGCATGTGAAGATTGACTATATCCTCAAATGCTCCTGTTCTTCTGCTTTCACCCTCTTTTCTCTTACTGCTGTTTTCCTGAAGTTACCAGCCTTCAGCCAGCTTGTGAGGAAGGAGCAGCAGCTCAGTTCCTGTCTCAGGAGATGCGCCCTCATCAGCAGAGATACCAATGAGCCACTGCTGTCTCAGGGCATCGCCCAGAAATGTTCAAGAGTGTGGAGCACCTAAGAGACTTAGCAATGTTTTGGCTTGTTTCCCCTTTTCTGGCCAGGTTTCATAAACATTTCAGGATAGATGGTTGGATTCTTGTGATGCAGCTAGACCTCCCGAGCCCAGCATCTCAGACCATCAGCCAGCTTCATGTGATGCTCTTGCTTTTCTGTGTGGCCTGTGAACACAGAATTGATGGTTTTGGTGCAACTCTTGCAGCCAGTTCCAGATTGGAAAGTCCTCTGCAAGTCCTTACCCTCAAGTCTCAGAGAAAAGCAAAGGGAGCGGGATATTTCCCTCTTTTGTATCATGTCTTCAAATTGTTTCATTAGAGTTCTCCAGTGGTCTTTTCCGTATTACTCAGCTGAATGCAAAAGCCCCTTCTTTAAAACTGTGGTGGGGAATAAGATCAGAATTATGAAGCTGGACTCGGATTTCTCATGCAGCATTTTCACATTGTCCACAGTGAGCTCAGCCTGTACTTCATGCCATGAGGAGGGGCAGGCTGTGAGCACAGAACCACACACCTTACCAAGGCCCAAGTTACAGGGACAGCAGTTTCTAATGGACTTTCTCCTTGGCCTCACTGCATTACATGTGAGTTTCAGCACAGTAACAGGACTGGAGTAGGGATCTAGTTTCAGGAGGGGCCAAGTTTCATGCTTCCTTGCAAGCCCAGAAATTGGAGCTGCTCCCACATAAGCTTCCTCCCTGTGTGAATCACAGTAAGCATTGTTCCATGGAAAGCACCAGTGACAGTGGGGACAGGCAGTCCAGCATCTTCTCCCAGTGACCAAGGCACACCACTTGTGTTGGGGAAATCATTTTCATGTTAATAAAAGGGTGTGAGCTTTGTCCCACTCACAGGGTTTTCTCCTTTGCGAAAGGGATAGTTTGGCACACTGCAGTTTTCTGGAGTGTTTGTTGCTTTGCAGGTGTATCATACGGGTTTTGCTGGCCTGGAGGTAGCACAGGGATCCCCTTGCTGCCTCCATCTCTGCAGCAGCCACCCAAGTGCCCTGATGGGAACTCAGTCCCTTTCTCTCCTAGTTCCTAGTTAGGCAGCTGATAATTGCCAGCTGGCTACAGGACTTTGCTATGGGGCTGTAGTACCATCAGGCTCTGCATATCCAGATTAACCACGGAGTAGGATAGAACAGGACTGTCAGTGAAATAAAAGATTTTGTTTGTTTGTTTTGAAATTATACTGAGTCTTGAAAAGTGAAGTTAAGATAAAGTCATGAAATCAGAGAGTCTATCTCATTGATAACTAAGAACTGACTATACTTACTTTAAGTTGAAGTTTAAAACAGTTGTTTGCAGCTATATAGGTGAACAGCTATTTTATTATTTAAACATTTTGTTTGATTCAACCTCTACAGGGTAGAGGCTTTCCGTGATGCAGCATCTGCTATGGAGCAAGAGAAGGAAATTCTGCTTGAAATGATCCACAATATACAGAACAGCCAGGATATGAGGCACATCAGTGAAGGTGAGAAGCTGCTTTCCTGTACCCTCTAACTGACCCAAAGTCTAATCAGCCCATCTTTTCTGGAGCAGCTCTGTGTGAGCAGCTGTCTTTGCTGCTGGTAAAAGTGCAACATTGGAGCCAGCTGAGGTTGTTGAAGTGACACCCATTATCCTGAGATCTCTTCTTGAGTGTAAATTCATGCTGTTCAGGTGGATGGACTACCATGAATGTCACAACTGTGTATGTGAAAGCCTATACTCAGTTTACTGATACATTTTCAAAATCAAGATTAACATCGTTCTGCTGGGGGAGAGACGTTGATGATGATGATGATGATAATATAGTTGAAAATTATTTTGACTATTGGATAGGCATGAGCGTTACAAAGTGACAAGCCTGCAAGAACCTGATGATTAAGATCATTGTTCTAAGTTGTGTGATTCACAGCTTTAAATATATCCCCTAAACGTGATCATTAGGTACTTTAAATTGCTGGTTTATTGGCTCTTCAAGAGCCTACGTATCAAGTGTGTTGTGTTCAAGTGTGTTTTGAAAAGCAGCTATAGTTTCAGGAAATAGAAAACTAGTTTTTTCATGGCCTCATTATATCTACTTTTCTCTTTATGGCCTTCTGGGGTACTGTCTAAATCTCTCCCTCAGAATGGCATGGAAGTCCTTAATGAGCCAGTTATATTACTGAATGTTTCCTGGAAATACTATATATTTTGCTTTAAAGTGACACAGCAAGCATTGTGTCAGCAGTGGAAAAACATCGCTTACAATTTTAGTAGAGTTTAATGCCTCATTTCGAATCAGACACTGGCTTCTATGAAATGAGTGTGACTTGGGCAAAATGCAAAAAGCTCATTTCTGGCTTCTGGAAATCTTACTGATTGTCACTTACTTAAATAAAATGTTGTTTACTGCTAAGTTATAGCAATTTGAGTGTCTTGATGATGCTATTTGCACAGGGAAGTATTTGCCTGTAACTGAGAATATTTTCTTGTTTTTGATTGAGGGGAGAGAGAAGAACTTAATTTGACTGCTAATCGCCTGATGGGCCGAACCCTCACTGTGGAGGTTTCCGTAGAAACCATCCGCAATGCGCAGCAGCAGGAATCCCTACTGCACGCCACCAAGATGATTGATGAGATTGTCAGTAAACTCCTTGATGATTTGGAAGATGCCAAAATGCGCTTAATGTCACTCTACGGTGCATGCACGTCTGACGTGCCAGCAGGACCCATCGATCAGAAATTCCAGTCTGTGGTCATCGGATGTGCCATTGAGGATCAGAAGAAAATCAAAAGGCGCCTAGAGACTCTGCTCAGAAACTTGGAAAATTCTGAAAAGTCCATCACATTGTTGGAGCATCAGAAATCATCTGTTCGGCAGTCTTGCAACAGCAAACAGGATTAACATATCCTCCCGGCTACTTCTGGCAAACCACAGGATGAGCAAGTGCCCATAAAAAGCATACAGAAGCCAAGAAAAGAATTCTCTGTACGAGCACACACATATATACACATCCACACGCACCAACTTATCTTTGATTGCGAGGTGCAAGCATTTAATGGGTTTTGGTAGCATTGGCATTTTCTTTTGGCAATAAGGAATGCTATCAGTTCTTCTGTAGAGTCGATACTGCTCTATTGCAAATTGTAATTGTGCTTCTGCTGATCTGACAGAAACTGAAAATCTAGCCTTTCCTCCATTCTCCTGGGTTTTTGAAAACTAAAGTTGTTTTGTCCTATCATGAGATTTCAGCTTTTCTCTGTTGTATAAGTAGTATGTGAGCCAGACTTCTGGGGACAAAAGACAATTATGGCAATAAATCAAAACAAATTAATAAACCGTTTATGGTATTTTCATAAACAACACAGTGTCCTACTCATTACCATTTATACTTTTGTACTTTTTGAATATTTTGAACAAACTGATCACAATACTTTCTAGATACAGACAGCTGCCTCCAGTTTGTAACTGTGGAAGTGAAAAGCAACTCATGTACCCCAGGGATCACCAGCCAGGCTAGAAATGACCTGACTCAAAATTCCCCCTCCATGCCTGGTGAACCATTCTGCTCCCACAAGCACATTGTAGCTTTGAGATTGCTGTGTGTTTCTTTTTAAAAGATAATAGAAAGTGGAACTGTACATCAGCTACTACTCCATTTTTGCATCATCTATGAAGCCACAGAGCAAAACATTTTGACTTCTCACCAAACACCGTATTTGTGTCTTGTGTAGGATGGTACTTTGTACATCCAGCATTACTTGCCTCTTCTTGTGAGTGGTTTTTGGTTTTTTATCTTCCACCCTCTCACAGTAACTGCTGCACATCATCACTGAGCTCTGTGGCTGTGGGTCAAAAATTGCAGATTTTAGGGTGTGTCTGGAATTTTGTAACCCCCTGTAGCCTGGCCAGTGCTGCAGTACTTCACCCAAGGGTGGCAGTGCTGTGAGGGGAGCAGGGGGCTCTGTGGCTCAGCCACCAGCATGCTGGACTCGGCTCAGGTTAGTACTCAGCTGAAGGGAGCCCAAAGGGTGTGAGTGATGCCACCAAGCACAGCTGCCTTGGTGGCAGTGCCTAGGGTGTTACAGTTGGAGTGTCACACCTGGATACTTTGAGGGCACCAGCCCACGGTGAGAGCTCTGCATGTCAGGCTCCTGTACAACCAACAGCCAGGAGCCCCGTGGTTTTAAATGCCTTGGATGGGCCCACGTGCTTCGCAGGAAATCTCCAGAGCTGTGTGCGCTTCTTGGAAACCTCAGCTGCTGTGAGGTCACTGTCACTGCATTTAATTTGCAGAAACAGCACTTCAGGTGGGTGCTTCGAATGCAGACCAAATTTCAGCTTTGAGATTGTGAGAAGTTCTAAGAGTTAGTGACATTAATTCTGTAATTCCTTTTTAAAAAAATTTCCAGCTATTCAACGGTATTAAAACCCTTTACAGTAATACACAGCCTGGGTTGTTTTCAGAACTCGTGCTGTGCAACACTTAAGTTGAACACAGCTTCTTGTTGCTTGTTGCTTAGAATATTCCTTCAATATTTGGGTTTTTAAGGCCATTATAAGGTTATTCAGGCAAAAGGTTTTTTTGTTTTCTTTCACAGATATTCTTCATTGTACTGATACCTGAAAGAATTTTTATTTCTTACAGCTATCACACAATTGCAGAATATGTGGGTTAGAGGGGACCAATGAAGGTCATCTAGTCCACTGCCTCTGTAATGAGCCTAAAGCATTGCCAATTAATCCTTATCAGGGTGTCAAGCAAACACACTGATTTTCTGTGTTCAAAACTGTATGCAAGAGGGAGCAGGAGTATGTTACTTCCAATATTCTTCAGATACCTGGGCAAAGAAGCAGACGGCCGATTTGTGTTTTACTGAAAAAAAGAAAAAATACCAAAACAATGCAAAACCCCTAACCAACAATCACTAGTGAGTGATTATTACCTGTTTATTTTCATAAATATAAAATGTACTAGGCATCTTTGACATATTAATAATACTTTAATGCCACTTCCAATGTCTACAATCTTTGACTTAAACCTTGTCACTATATTGGCCAAACCAGTCATGAAAAGCAAAATGACCAGAAAGAGCAGAAAAGAATCCATATTTTGTTTTTCAACCACATGGTAAATCAGAGGCAAGAGCTAAGAAACACCATTTCTATTTGACTGGGGTGTCCACACTTGTTCCTTTGAGTGCTCTCATGAGCTGCCTTGGATCCCAGCTGTTGGCAACACACACAAGAATCAAGCACACGTTTCTCAGTCAGACTGAGGTTGCACAGCTTGTAGTTACAGCAATTTTTGAAATTTAATATACTCACAATTTAATATAACCACAAAAGTAGTGACTTATATCAGACTCAACAACAAGCAAACAAACATTTTAAGTTGCATGATGCAACTAGTGTCACAAGAGAACAGCAGAATTAATTTGTAGGGATTTTACAGAACAGCATACACAAGATACTCAGTTTTAAACACTGATTCTTCTGATCAAGGATTTATGGTATGATGACCTTTTTTTCTACAAATCTGTTACATTTACTTGAGAGCATGATGGTGATAAAATCAGTTATGTACATTTCCTCTTTTAGCCATTTGCATTTAAGCCATTGGTATCAATGCATCTTAATCCTCACAATGAGAGTGGTGTTCCTCCTGGTCCACAGTAATTTTTAGTTTTTCTTATCAACTTAAGTGAGTTTGGCAGAACTGACAAACTATTTATCTGTATTACCCTTCTAGAAACCTGAGAATGAGCCTAGTTCAGTACTAGGACTCACCTGGCTTTGAGATAACTCATACAGAACACTGCAACATGGAACAGTTGCAGGTTTCTCTTATTCCATTATAGCACCTTTCATTTTAAATCTAAGCATTGCTGTGTTTTTCATTGTATAATTCTGATTACCTGCTTGGATGCCATAATTAACAGAGAGTTATTTTTTTGTCTCAATATTATTTGTGCATTAGAAAGAGTATCTGCACAGCTTTTGCTTCCTACAAAAAGATGGCAAGGTAGTTTTGATGAATTCAAGCCTGCTGGACCATTCTTGCACTCTAATTTTGGTACAGTTAGTGTTCAGGTTCTGCAACTTCAACCAAAGGTCTATGACTACATTTAGAAGAGCAGCAGGGGCTCGGGTAGTGTCACTGGAATGAGAGCAGCATATGTGTTGGCTCACTGTACAATGAACTCTGAGGAGAAGGGCAGATCACTGACCCTGTTAACACCTGGAGCTCTCAGCCTGAAGGGTGCATGGACAGCTTCAAGTGCAGGCTTGCTGAGTCTTGTGCATGTACCCCACATAACCCCTCAGAGTGCTGTGTGGTCAGCTGCTCAATGTTCTTTAGATTATACCACCTCCACAAAAATTATGTGAAGGAAAACCTCATGACAGATGTTCTGCAGCCCAATAATGAAGAAAATAAGAAGTTGTATTTTACTGAAGCATAAAAATTAAACAGGAAATGAGACTGACTGTGATAATTCCGGCACTTGGACTATAAAAGTCTGGCCTTAAGAAACACTGAAAATAATACTTCAAAATTGAATTAAGTGGAATATTTAATTTTCTTTTTAATTAACCACACACACAAGCACAAAAATTAAGTGTGATCAGTCATACAACTTTGAGATTTTCTATTTCCAGTTGGAAATACATCCCTAGCATTACTGCTTTGCATCTAACGATGCCCCACGTACTGGGAGAACACCCATTCACTGAATGGATATAACAGAGAAGTGACAAAGCTGTAGTGTCATACTCTTTAGTGAATCCCTATTTCACTAAGGCATTAACAATCACTAAAGTTTCCTGCTAATGGTAGCTTTATCAGCCAAGGGCAAAGAATTGTGGCAAAATCAAGATAATACAGCCAGTAAGCTATTCAAGAGATACAAAAAGAATATACAGGAGTGCAATGAATTTTGTATCTTGTGGGACAAGCATCTCTTGCTCTTAATCCAGGGTATCATGGGTGTAACAGAGCTACATCCTCACCCACCATGCAGTCCCAGGGTTGCAAAGAGAAGAGCATTTTTATTACCAGCCCCACACCTGTAGGTTTTGCTGACTAAAACATACTATATTTTAATGAGTACACTTGGAGTGGAGAATGAAATAATGTTTGTAATAAAAAATTATTCATGAGGGACAACACAAGTGCTAAAACATTTAGGCATGTCTCTTCTTCCAAAAGGCAAGAGTTAGTGTCACTGAAGAGTGATGTGAATACGTAAGGGTTCCTGCAATATCCAAGTCATTTGGTTTACATCTACACACTAAGAATCAAAAATTTCAAGCAGTGTACATGCAGGGCATTTCCCAGAAAGATGCTAATTTGGGCACTTTCCATCTCAGTCATATTGGAGAACAAGCACTGCAACGTCTCAACAAGGAAAGATCCACTTTAGATTTAGGAGGGGAGTAAAATGAAAACTCACTGTTACCCAATGCTGCAAATAACTATTCCTACATTAAAGTATATGCACTACATTTCAACATATCTTAAATTTATCAAGTCTGTCAAGTCTCCATCTATGAAAATTACTATTGAGTCATTAAAAACAGTAGTGGCATACTTTACATACAAACAGCCTATATTAATTGTACAGTGTGTCACAGTATAACATAAAATAGTACAAATTGTCATTATACATAATAAAGACTTACTTTTCAGTACCCTGTACGAAGTCAAACAAGGCAAAAAAGATGTTTCACACACTTTGTGGTTTCGTTTCTTTTTCAGGAAAAATTAATAAAACCCCAAGAAACTTGCAGATAGACAATGAAATGTAGAAGTTTCCATATTAAAAACAGTTTTTTTCATGCATACACTGTACCTTAAGTTGTGAGGTGGCCTCATGATGTTCAGTCATCTTATCCCAAGTACCTCACTTATTAAACTGCTAAGACAGATGGGACTTGACTCCATTTATAGATACAGTGATTAAATGCACTTGTTAAAAAATGGAGGCCTTTATCCAAGAGAAAATACAGGAGACATTATGGTGAAGAACACATGGTTTAGCTGCAGTAGCAAAAGGGATGGGGTGCCCTCCTCCTTGCCAGCAACAGGAGATCTCTAACAGCTTGTCAAAGAAACTGCAGTACTCAGTACAAAGTCTAATACAGTAAACATAAAATACAGAGTTCAGAGATCTTAAGTGTTTGTGCATAACTTGCCACTCACTTCTCTCCCTGCAGACACTGGGAATAAGTATACATTTCAGTTTTCATACTCATTGACTTAGAAACAAAGTCAGTCAAGCTTCCTACATGAATTCACATAGTGAAAAGTCCTTCCTTCAAAAATATACAGGATCACTCAACCAATTTTCATTCTCATACACCATTTATAAAACTATTAAAACTCTGATTTTTTTTAAGCAGCATATTTTGCATTTGTCACTGGCAGACTTGTAGAAATCTTAGAAAGTTAAAATTATATCATACCATACAAAACATGTAAATAAAATGGATAGTTTCTAAAAGGCATGCATGCTCTTGAAGAAGATTATAAAGTCTTCATTTTTGCTAAATAAAAGGTATCTTGCTTAGCATTTTTAAAAGCACCTTAGTGATTTAGGAGCCTTAGCCCAAATAACTTCGAAGTTAGATTTGGGCTCCTAAACATCTAAATTACTGAAGCACTTTGAAAATTTTTTGCCATGTCTCTCATCTTCCAGAATTAGATTTCCTTAACTTGAAATCTGAGTCAACATTCAAGAATGTCTCCCTAATATAATCAGCTGCAATTTTTTGGATCCCTGTAACTTAGTTTATGGTATCTATAAAAAAAATTCAAATTAGATAAATACTTTGTAACACCACTTTGAAAATTCCTTTTTCGTAAGACAACACAGGATACAACAATAAGAAGATTATTATGTGTTCCTTCTGAACAGCTATTAGAGTTATTTGTTCCATCTGTTATGACTGAGAAAAACAAACTTCTTACAAAACATCTGTAGCATAGCATTAGGTAAAAAGGAGCAGTTTTGGCACCATACATTTTTAAATCTAAGCTTTTAGGCCTGAAGTATAGCAAGTTAAACACACACAGTGGCAGCTTGGAAAGCCTCTTCTGAAATGCAACATTTTTAAAGGACAGTTGGAAGATGCTATTTGATGATCATTAGCTGATCTCCAAGTAATATACACATTGGAACCAAGCATAGATATCATCCCAAATGTCTACATATATACCTTAGCACACATATATATAATGCAAGGATCTTGCACCCACAGGACTGCCAGAATCCATACTAATATGGTCAGGCATAAAATTAAGTGTTGAGTGTTTTTTTTGCTCTTCATTTATCTTGGTAGTGTCCAGACTAACCACTCTAATATTTTCTTTGAAATTTAGTTGCAAGGTTGCTACATTATCTTGGGCCATAGAATTACAGTCCGTACCTATACGTGTAAGTACTATCCTTACATTAAATGTGCTTTGAAATTCAGCAATAACCTAGTTCATAGCTCTGTAAGAAATTCCTTGAAAAAGGAAAGGCTCACCTAACCTGCACAAAGTGCACGAGGCAGCCACGGTTCTGTGTGTCGCCACCAGGTGTCTCTCGCCATGCAACAAACCCAAAGCATCAGCAAGTTCGTCTAAATCCACCCTCAGTCAAGGAGGCACAAGATTTACTAAAGCACCGGTAAAAATACCTCTAAAGCTGGCTTTATTCTGTATTCAATTGCACAACTTCATCCAATTCTCTGAGTTGCTTAATTTCCTCCAAAAGTGGTCTAAGGTATACTGCAGTTGCTAAAAGGACTTCTGTTTTTCTTGGTCCTCTGTTTGTTTGGTTTAAGGTTGATGACATCTCCACCATTAAGAGTGCTAGAATTTTGGTTGGAGTGACTTCCAGATGTATTAAAAACACCTACAGAATTCAGACAAGAGAAGTATTTGTATTTATTTATTGCTTGCAGCATAATAACATTTTAGACACAACACCTGCTAAAGCATAGGAGAGCACCTCAAGTGTGTACACCAGTTTTTAAATCTATTTTGGGTCAATTTTTCAGCTAAATTGGAAGTAGAGGCAGTTGCAATTACTACCAGCCAGGCAGTATTTAGAGCTGGTATGTATCTGTGCAGTTGAAGGGCAGCATATGCACTCATCTGTGTATGTGTATGTTACTAACTGCACAAAGTTGTGGTTGAGTAACATAATAGAAGAAAAACCTGATGATATAAAATTCAGAGACTTTGTTGATATCAAGTAAAAGGCCTTTTTCCCTGAATAAAAAGGGACTGCTCTATGAAAAATGAATTACCTGACTCAGAAATGCTTTAAAGAACCACAGAAGTTTACTGTTTTCTTACAGAAGGCAACTTGTGAACACCTTCTGATTACATGCCAGACTCTTTCCCCATGAGTCTTACAAGCCCACATCGAGATGAGCAATGCTATGTAATGCTAATAAAAAAAAAAACCCAGCAATCATCCTTCTCAAATTCTTGTACAATCTTCTTTAAATTAATTTAGTAAAAGCATTAGCTAGAGCCAAGCATTAGCTAGAAACTTTTGTATATCAGTTTGATCATCTTGTAACTTCAAAGTCACTAAGTTATTTTACAGAAAGAGATGATAGCCTAAGATAGGGAGGTAATAATTAGACCCTGATTCACATTGTATTAATTCCATAAGGAAACATATGAGACAACAAGCTTTGATTGTCTCACAAACAGCACAAAATACTGTTTTTAGAGGTTTTTTATTATAATATACATACCAATCTTGTTACTGCTTGTATGTACTAGTTCTGAATCTTCTGCCGTTTGTTGCTTGAGCTTTTGAAGATATTTATCAGCCAAATACTTAAAAACTGAAAAGTTAAAAAGCAAAAAGGTACATCACAAAATGCTTAAAAATAATCATCATCTTCATAATGCCATTATATAAAAATTCTGCATGGTGACAAAAATGCATTTCACACCCCAGGTTTAGCACAACCTGGTGAGTGATTCTGGGCAAGTCTGTGTGCCTGGGCAGAATTCAGGTCACTCCAGTGTCTGTCCAGCTCTTACAGTTTGCAGTACTGAAGACTTGCACAGAAATACCTCAATACACTTATAAAAAAAACAGGCACACACATATTGCCAAATGTTTCAATTAATGCAACTTGGAACTTTTTACAGTTATGTAGGAATTTAATATATACATTTTTTGCAAGAAGCCTTAAAAAATAGTAGTTATGTAAAGTAAATCTATTAATAAAACTTGGCAACAACTTTTTTCTAATTAATTAATGCTACCCTCATTTCTACTGGAATATAAAAAGTTGACCTAGGAATCTGAAAAAATATACAACTAAAGCAGAATTTTCAGAACCTAGATGTGTTATGATTATCTACATTTGTAACTCAGCTCATTTAAAAATGATACAAAAGAGTTTTACGTTTTCTTTCACAGATTTTTCTCATGGTGAATCATATTAATAGAGAAGAAACAGGGAGTTTACTATTAATCTTGGCTAATTAAACAAGAATATATCATTAAGGAGTATAGTTCATGATTATTCAAACCCAGCCCACAAAAGACAGAGACTCAAAATTTTAGCATTACACTTATGAAATTAAGTACACTAAAAGTAGTACTTAGGAACTAATCAAATATCACCGGTAGACAAAACACTGCAATAGATGCAATGTGCTTTATTTAAATAAGACTAAAATATACAATAATTGTTTCTATTAATTATTTAGTAACTATTAACAAATACAAAATAATCTGTTCCAACAATTTGTATGTTGCGATAATTGAACTTCTATGCCTATTTGTTTCCAAAGTTCATGCTTACTGACAGTCATTAGGACTAAGGAGCCTTAACACACTGGCACTTGTAAACATCGCAGCTGTGCATGTTTGTGGAAGAGAAAGATGTGCACAAAGAGATGGGTCTAACCCACTGATACCACGTGATTTTAACTGTGTTTAAGGCCCGCTGCTACAGAATATAAAGAGGGTTGCCACTAGCACGCAACCATGTGTAAGCCCCAGCTGGCTCCAGCCCGGGGGATGCTGGGGCCAGGGAGCAACGGCAGGACACGCCCTACCTGCAGCTCCTCCTACCTTCGCTCACGTTCAGGTCCTCCTTCACAGACGCTCGGTAGAACCTCACCTTCAGCTTCTTTGCCAGTGCTTCTGCTTCCTCACTGCACAACACAAGACAACTTTGTAAGTCCTTATTTGGTTCATTTGTTAGCATTTATTCTTATAAACAAAATGCTTCATTGTAAGTTAAACGTGGCAAAGTGGGTTGAGAAATTCCAAGACAGTCAAAAAATACCTAATCCTTAATTTCTTTACAATATCTCCACTATAAAAAGAAGGTATTTACATGCAGCTTTTTTATGACTCAAAAGAATTATTTCAGTATTTACTGACTTTATTAAATAAAACTTCACAAGGGTTCGAAGAAGAGTGTTGGTGAAACCAAAGCGAGTCTGTAATTAACAGCACTATCACTGCAAACTCTAAACAACAACAAAAAGTAATCCGTAAGTATATCTTAAAGAAGCAGTGTGCTGTGCAATCAGATGAGTGCACAGATGAAACCAAGAATTACTTTTTTCTGTGAAGTGAGAAAGAATTTATGTTAAAGTTTAAGAAACTTATGAATACTTCCCTAAGGAAAATCACATCATCAGAAAGATTATGTTACTGAGGCAGACAGTGTATTCTGAGAACCAAACCTAAGTGACATACCATGAATAAAGGAGGAGTTCAAATGCAATTTTGCTTTTCCTTTGAAAAATCCTCAGAATTCTTTGCAGAGGAAGTAGAAGCTGATTTATGCCATCAATGATAGCAAACAGACAACAAAGAAAGCCAGTGCAGGAAACAACAAAAAAGAAGAAATAATTTAAATCTCTCAGGAAGATGACAGAAATTGAAGAAGTGGAGAATGATCAACTTCATCATGCACTATTTTCTACATGAAATGCTGTGGTAAATAAAAGGATTTGTTAAGCTGATTTTATGACAAGAATGAAACTGGTCACATACACAAGGGCAGAATGAACTGACAATAAAATCTGTGAAGAAAAATACAGCAAGGAAAATTCAGCACCATGCCGTTTGAGAATATTACCACACACATATTTCTATAGTTACAATGTTTTGATAAAAATGAGTAATAAAAAACAAATTGAAGAAAGCAAAGAATATTAGCAAGCATTCACTAGCCAAACAGATAATGTGCCTTCAGTGGTGCACAGCACAGTTTAAAAGTAACTGAATTTTAACAGGAGAGAAAATTTATAGTTTTATATTTTCTGAGTTAAAAAAAAAAAAAAAGGGGGTGTGACACATATTATGCCAGAACCAAACTTTATATGTCATTCCTCTATTAGTTTTGGCTTCAGGATGCAGCATGAAACAAACAGAAAGCTCCTAGCTTTGCAGCACATCTGCCCAAGTAGCTACACTCATGCAGCAACACCTGCCCCATGTGCTTCTAGGGCACATCTGGATGCAGGACACAGGTGGGACAACCCAGATCCTCCGTCTTCACCAGAAACTCCCACAGACTTCTTTTTTTAAAACCTGTGTATACCGGGGGCACCTACTGATCTTTAAAAGTAGTACACTAGAACTCCTACTTCTTTATGCAAGAGTCATCAAGAAGATCAATCTTATTCTGCACAAGAACTGTGGGAATGTCTCCAACTTCGGTCACAACTTTTTCCTTCCAGGTAGGGATTGCTTTGAAGGATTCTCTGTCAGTTGTAGAAAACACAAGAACACAAGCCTGGGCTCCTAGAAACATACAAATAAATTACAAATACATAAATTAGCCAATAAAAGATAGAAAAAAATAAATTGTAATGTATTTAAAATATGAGGGATTTTTCAAGGTTTTTTTTTTCCATAAACATGCACTTTTACCACCAGCTTGTGTCAAACCACTGGTCATAGATTCCCTTAATGAAAATTCATTGCCATTTTATTTTGATCATTACAGCCATCTTCATGATGACTATGTGTCTGTTACCTTTAAAGGTAATTTTTAAACTTAGCATATTGAATGTATGCAGGGGAAAAGAATAGGAGATCTGGAAAGGATGGAAAAAGGCAAGGGAAGGTTCGTTTATTGCTGTTTTACAGACAGACTAATAGAGGCCAGAGGGAAAATTTTTTCCTGTATGCTGCATCTGTAAAGAACATTTCACATTATTCTTTCTGGTACAGTAATTTGAATTCTGAAAAGCAGAAAACTTTAAAAAGCTTTCACATGAAGTTGTGATTATTTCAAGTAAATTGGTAGTAGCTTTTTGGGGAAAAGAAACAGTGTGTTTCTAATTAATAGCATCAGATAATCTAATAATTCTATCAGCGCACTACAATAAATTATACAAAACCTTTTGTTATGGTTTTGTAAATAAACAATAGTTAAACTCCATGGATACTGAGAAGGTACTTCCACAGCTGAAATATTAGTGTGTGGTCTTCTGACTGTCCAGCAGCCCTTTGTCATTCTTCAGAAACTGCTTTTCTTTCCACACTTCATTATTTATATGCCTTCAATATTCTAGTTATTTAGTAACAGAGCATTAAAGGAATACATAGCCAGTGTTTTTGAGACCCTAGTATATCTAGTGATGAACATCTCAAATTAATATGATAGAGCATGAAAAATTTTTGATCAGCATGAATTTTACCTCTGAGTTTCACCACGTATCCTTGATTCCTGTATCCTGTTTGTGTTTCTCTGACACAAAGCATACAAGTTCTCTTACTAGGTTTGCTTTTACTGAACTTTTTTAAAGCCAGGTTCAGAGTCTATCTTGAAAAATATTTCCTACAGTCTTTAACATTCTTCCACATGCATATTAAGACCCTTCTGGTATGGTTTTATAGAAGACAGTAAGAACTGCCCTAAGAACTTCAACTGAAGCTCTACCAGTAGAAAAGCAGCAATGCAGCCTTCCATAATTTCCCCTGTTATTTGGGTTGTAAAATTCTGTTTTCCCTACTGTCCACAATGCACTCTAAAGCATGCAATTATTCTGATGCAATTCTTGTGACATAGGTGTAAAATTCATTATTCTTTCCACGGCAGGTTAGTTTGTAATTGCCTATTACCTCACAAAGTAGCTTAATGGAGATGAGAGCATTTATTAAAATACTCCCAACCATGTGTAAACATCACTTTGTTCAGTTTAAAGACCAAGAAATCCTTTGTGAAGTTTCCAAACTAAGGCACCTTCACTTCATCTTTCTCCTTCTACCCATTCCTTCTGAATGCTACCACAGGTAACAGTAAGTTTAGAGGGAAAAGCCCTAGCATGTGGTAGGTAAAGAGAAGGCAGCATACTACATCAGATGTTATTCAATTTACATATAGCACAGGTAGAATGCAGTGGCCAAGGACAGTAAAAATACCTCAGCTCGCCCATATTAGCGTCAAAAGGGAAGTATATGATAGGCTTTAATAAATCAAACTGAAATGTTTTTGAGGACCTTCAAGATTTTTACAACAAACAACAGTAAAACAAAGTGTCATCAACAATGACAAATTCTATACACTCCTGTCATTGTGTATTTCCAAACATTTGCCCAAGTTTTTGGTCGCTGGATCATAAGTATCAGACTTAACTAACCCAGTAACTCTGTAAGATGCTTATTTAAGAAAAGAAGAAAAAAGCAGTTTTCCTCTCAGGTTCAATGCAAAACAGTACCACTTGTGACCTTTCTGAAGTGTGCTTCATTATGGTGCAGAATTTAGGAGGGCAACAGAGTTCAACAGCAGATTCTGCAGGGCAGAGATTTTTATTTTCTTTTCACCTTCAAGAAATCTGCTAAATATTCAGTATTTTATTGAAAACATTTTGAGCAATTATAATATCCATCTAAGAGTTCTAAGGAGGAAAAAAAGGAGACAAACCCTAGAATTTAACCATGTAAACACCTTTTTTATGCAGGCACTGACAGTATTCAAGGGTCAGTAACATTACTATCTCAGTCATCCACTAATGTAGTGATACACCACCTCTGTCATACAACAACAGGCACCGGCAGCAAAGGCTCAGGATAGCGTCAAACAGGAGCCTAACAGCTCATTATGTTCTCGATGAATATTTTAAATTAAAATTCTTTTGTAAGAAGCTGTTCCATAAAGCTTCCTTAAAGTACTGAAGAAAATGACATTGTGTGCAATTACTGCATTGATAATTCCTCTATATTTTAAAATGTTTCAACTGCCTGCAGAATCACTGACATAATATTCATATCCAGAGCAATTTAGAAGAAAATTTAGAGACTAGTGCTACTTAATTCAAGTAAAGCATGAGCTTGTCAGCTGAATTGGTCTCAGAGTTCCTCAGCAGATAATCCTATCCCCATAGACTCCATAACCACATTTTTTTTTACTTTCATAATGGTACAAGCTTTTGCAATAGAAAAAGGATAAGGAAATTCCTTGCCATGAGGAGACTCTCACAGGGCTTTATACCTGACTCTACTCATTTCACTCAGTACTTTGCCTCAGCTTTTCCAGGCTACGATAGAAAGCACATATTACCTATAAAACTGATGGTAACTTGTTCAATCTCACTCTGAGATCAAAATCCAGTATCATCACCCAGAAATTCTTGTTTACTGCTGATGTTCTAACTTCTGTGGATCCTGTCTGTCTTTAACAGGCTCAGCAGGATTTAATGTCTCCTTAACGGTATCTAAAAGAACTGTACCAGGGCAGTATTGCAGACCTTCCATTATCATATTTGCTGCAGACAAAAGAGGTTAACAAATGCAAACTAAAGCAATCCTATGAAGGCTTTATTACAAAGAATGAACTGTTTTTCAGCAAAATGAGGAACCTGACAATTTGACTATTCGGCAACCAAGTAACACACTAATGAGCAAGATGCCTGTTTTCCATCAAAAACCTAACAAGGATCTTTAAGATATACCAGTGGTAGCAGAAGGAAGAGGATACATGCATGAAGAAATGATCAAATACTGCTTTGAGAAATATTTTACTTCAATCACAAACAAACTGGTGAGAAGATGCATGGTACGATACAAAAAAATAAATTATTAAATACATACAGTGCTTCCTTCAACTCTGAATTTAGGCTGATGGATTCCTTGCACTGTGTGATCGTGGGCATGCAACTACACTGGGGTCTGCATGTAGAAAACCGCATGACAAATCCACTGTCAGCTCCAATTCTCTTTCTCTGCAAGGCTGAATGAATTTGGTCCCTGGACAAGAAACACTCAGAGACAGGCTCTGAAGCATTCATGTGTTAGCACTGAAGAATTGACAATACACAGTGACCCAGGGGAGTACGTGAGCCCCAGTGCAATCATAGCGGGACAGTGACCTCAGAGAAGAAAACCTTAAATTAACAGCCAGTATCTATCTTACCTATCTTAGAGGTGTTCTCCCCTTATCAGCAATAATTAGCAATAAAATCCTAGCATTTCCAAAGTAAGCTTGACTCTTTGCTTCTAAAATAGTGTGATTGCTGATGCTAGACCAAAATTGCATTCCAGGCTCTTCCAATTTCCCTTGTCCTTCATGAATCTAAGTCTAGTTTAGAGCAGGCCCTGTATCTGACACCTTGAACTATTTATTACATCATGCTGCCACAATGTGTACAGGCTGTGTTTGACTTGCAAAGAACTGTACAAAGAACCCCAAGGCAGAGATATAACAGCACTATACTGGGCATGAGTCACGACCAAGATTTCAAGATACTCATGCAAATTTTTTATTTTGCTTTTAAACCACCAGGTTGCTTGTGGTGAGGCCAGTAGGTGTACTTCTGAGTTCTTCTCTCCATATTCCAGCCTATCAGTCCCAGTAATTAGGAGAAAAATTCTTTGGCTTGAAACAAGTGGGGAGAGCAAAGCACACAAGAGGACCGAGGGCCAGGACAGTAAAAAGGAAGCTCCACATGAATCGATTACTGCCATCTAAAATTAATATACTCAACTTGTCATCTGTAAATTATCTATATCCACATGACAAAAGAAGATCTTTTTCTGAGGAAATAGTAATCATCAATCACAGGCAACAGTGAGAAGTATTACCAAAAAAACCCACCTATTAGCAAACTGATTATGAAATAAAAAAATTGTAAGACTGCAACAACCTGAAACAGTTTGGCATAATCATCTCTAAATGAGGCAATTTTATACCATAGCAATATATTTCCCCCCCACCTCAGGTAATTAGTTGGCAAGAACTGAAGAGCAGAATTTTTGCCAAGTCATTTGTATCTCTCCCATTAAAAAAAAAAAAACAAGATAAATATTTACAGAACCACTGTTAAATTGTAAGCAAAGAATGCTTAAATATGCAATTTGTAACTGGTTAAGTTGATAAGCTGCATTACAAAAATAATACAGTTTATTTTATGAAGTAAATATGCTTTTCTCACTGCTCTTTTTTTAACATATTCAGGGCAGACTATACTAGCAAAAGAACTGCTGTGCCCTCTAAACTGCCTTTCTAGGATGACTGGTGGATTTTCCCCTCCTTGGATTAATTACTATGTGCCTCATCCATAGTTTTTGGAATATTTACAAATATGTATCTCACAGAAGTAATGAAACACTTTTAGAGGCAAAATATACATTTGCATCTGATTGTTTGAATGTCTACATTCCATCCAGTTTCTGTGCAGGTATTTGTCTCATTTCATTCAATGTTTTCCAAAGGGCACAACTGCATAAAGCGGACATAATTAAGACAAAGAACTTTCACAAGAAGAAAAAATATTTAAGAATTGAAAAGCTGAACTAAACATGCTTTGCACACACATGAAATAACTAAAATTCTTAATACAAAAATATTTTAGAGATGTGCAGACCAAGAAAACCCAACAACTAACAAACATGGTATTTTCACCTCTGTAGTAGGCCTTAGTTATTGCATCAAATTCCTCTTGACCTGCAGTGTCCCACAACATTAGCCTGACATCTTCACCGTTAACTCTGAAATAAACAAGACAGTTTTGTGACCAATGCAGTAACAGCAACAAATCAAAACAATTGGAAATATGGAAATACTTCTATTTCTACACTGTAAGAGTAATCCAAATCAAATTTAACTGGATTTAAACATCATGTAACTTATTATTAATATTCATTCACCTTCATAACATACTATGGCAACAGTCCCTCAACTACATTATATGCTCTTTACAGACAATCTGTATTATATTTTCCTCTTCCTTTCCTCTTCTTCCTCTACATTTCTCTCTACAATGAAAAATAAGATAGACATTGAAACAAAACTTAGGTGCCTGAAGAATGGTGCTTTTGTCTTTTTAATCTGCTTGCAGAATTTATAGAATTTTCTTACTGCCTATTATGAAATTTTCCACTTTATGAACATAATTGGGTATTACCTACTTATACTGCATAAAGACTGTAACAAATGTTTTCACAGTCATTTTTTTCTATATTGGCTAATAAATTTGTGTAATTCTTTTATCATAAACAGTTTCACTTCACAAGAAATTACAAAAAATAAATTTAAAATAATCAACAGGTGGTAGAATAAAAAGCAAACTTGTCAAAGAGCTTTTGTATGGCAGAGATTCCAGATTTTATTTATAATTTTAACTTTTGGATGGAGAATAAAGGATATAACTTTAGCCCACCATGCAAGACAGAAAACAACTCCCTTTAGTGTGCTTCAGAAACAGCAGACCTTGTTTTCTAAGCCTTTGTAAATTTCAGGATTACAACAGGAAAAAGAAATAGAGATAGAGGTAAAAATCAATAGTATGTCATCTGTTTAATACATACTGGATCTGTCTTTCCAGGAAATCTACACCAATAGTTTTCTTGTAGTCTTTTGTAAAAATCCCCTTGCAATATCGCTGAATCATACTGGACTTCCCAACAGCTCCATTTCCTACTACTACCACCTTGATGGCAACCTCCATATCTTCTTCCAACATCTTTGCGTCTCAGGTGACTCTCTGGTTTATTCAGGAAACTACTGATTCTGTCAACAAAGTAAATAGCTATTATGTTCATAAAAATGCTGTGAATAGAAAGCAAGAGGCAAGATGATCACACAGATTAGGGTGCATATAGGTAGTAAAATTTATTTCTGTCTTTCACAGACTGCTGAAGTGACCTCAGGCAAGTTATTTAACTAGGTTTGGTCTGACACTAATTAAAAATTAATAAAAACTGAAAGTAGAGAATAATTTATTTGGCTTATTGCAAAGATATTTCACTGGTGTTTTGGTGGCTTTTTTCTTAATGAGGAAGAAATGGAGGCACTGAACTACAAAATCACAGAATCGTTAATGTTGGAAAAGACCTCAAAGATCAGCAAATCCAATCTTTAACCCAACACTGCCAAGTGCTAAACCATGTCCCTAAGTGCCATGCCCACACATCTTTTAAATACCTCCAAGGATGGTGATGCTACCCCACTGTCCCTGGCAGTCTGTTCAAATGCTTGATAACCCTTCCAGTGAAGATTTTTTTCTAATATCCAACCTAAAACTCCCCTAGCAAACCTTGTGGCCATTTCCTCTTGTCCTATTGCTTGTTACTTGCAGATGAGACCAACCCCCACCTATCTACAACCTCCTTTCAGGCACTTGTAGAAATCAGTAAGGTTTCCCCTGAGCCTCCTTTTCCCCAGGCTCAATGACCCCAGCTGCCCTAGCCATTTCTCATAGGACTTGTGTTCTAGACCCTTCACCTCATTGCCTGTCTGGACACCCTCCAGCCCCTCAATTTCTTTCTTGCAGTGAGGGGCCCAGAACTGCACACAGGATTTGAGGTGTGGCTTCATCAGTGCTGAGTACAGGGGGACAATCCCTGCCCTGCTCCTGCTGGCCACACTACTGCTGACACAGAGCAGGATGCCACTGCCTTCCTGGCCACACGCTGGCTCATGTTCAGCTGCTGTTGACCAGCACCTCCAGCTCCTTTCCCACCGGGCCCCATTCCAGCCACTCTGCATGGGATTGTTGTGACCCAAAAATAGGAGCTGGCACTCGGCTTTGTTTCATCTCACACAATTGGCCTTGGACTATCAATCCAACCTGTCCAGATGCCTCTGCAGAGCCTTCCTACCCTTCAGCAGACCAACGTTCCCACCCAACTTGGTGTCACCTGCAAACTGACTGAGGGTGCACACAATCACTTCATCAAGATCGTTGGTAAAGTTCTTAAACAGGACTGGCACAAATACTAAGCCCAGGGGAACACCACCAGCAACCAGCTGCCAGATGGATTTAAATCTACTCACTACCACTCTCTGAACCTCCATCCCTCAAATGCATGCCTCCGCCACACTCTGCTCTGAGTCCTACTAACTCCTGTAAAAGTGGTTTCCTCCTTCGAAACAGGTGTACCACATCTATTATCAGCAGGCATGGTTGTTGTGTAGACTGACCCACCACCAAAAAACCAAAATTCTGCCTTGTAGCACTCGGCTCCTCCTCTTTCTTCCTATTTCATTCCCTGTGATTGGAAGGCCAGAAGAGAACACTGCTTGTGTTCCTGCTCTCTTAACCAGTTGTTCCAAGGCTCTGAAGTATTTTTTGGCCGCCCTCAGACTTGCTACAACTTTATCCCTGCCCTCTTGATAAAAGCTAAGTTTCCCCCACGTTTTGCTATGCCGGGATATCATCACAGTAACATTTTGCAGCTGCAGAGTGACAAATTTTCTCCCAAGAATCAGATCACCTTCCTTTCGAAGGAGGGGGAAATGCTCCCGTTTTAAAGGCTCTGCCCACCACCACACTCGCAGCCGTGCTGGCAGAGCACAGCTACCCCGATCCCTTCGCTCGGCTCGCTCAGACAGATGATGTATGATGATGTACCTTGACTGCATTACCCTACACCCGGCTACCCGCAGTTCGGCAAGCCCCGTGAGCACCGGGAAGCCGCATGGCCATTTTGGGCGAGAACAGAGGCAGCCACCCACGGGTCTCCGCAGCCATCCATCCCACCGACGCCTCCCGGCCCCGGCCGAGAGGCCACGCCGAGGGCGGAGGCTCGGCCGCCCCGGCCCCTCCCGCGGCCCCGCTCCCGCCAGCCCGGGGCGCCCCGGCTCCGATCCCCGCCCGCCCTCTCACCAACCCCTTACGGAGCGGGCAGGCGGCGTTCTCTCCGGGGGCACGGCGGCGGAGGGGCGCAGGGAAGAGAAGACGGAGGGAAGGCGAGAGGAAACCGCTCGCTGGGGCCGACCCAACCCGGACGCACATCCCGGCTCCCCCGCCCGGAAGCGCCGTCAGGACCGGGGGCGCCGCTCGGGGAGGCGCCTGCCCGCTGCCCCCGCCCCCGCCGCGGACCCCGCCGTGTGGGGCTGCCTGGGAGCCGCTCCCGGAGGGCCGCGCCGGGGCTCATGTGCGCCCGAGTCGGGCTTGAGGCGAGGCAGAAGTTGCTATTGAGGGGTTTTCGTCTGGGTTCCTGAGGAAAGGTCCGGACAAGGCTGATCTTTCCTTGCCCACGGGCTCATCCCTGGTTCGTTCCCTATACGTCGGCATTCCTCGTCTCATCCTCCATAGAAAACAAAACCGCGTGATAAGGCACGGGCTTTCCTTAGGCTACCACGGAAGGCAGCTGCCTTCCTGTGTGACGTGCCCATCACCCGTGGTACGTGCTCTGCCGGCTCCTAGACTATATAATAAACAGCATAAGTTTTGGCATAACTATAGACGTGGTAGTCTTAAAATCTGAAGATTTAACCTTTATTAACCTTATTTTGGTTTTTCAGTTGGTTGTTTTTTTAAGTTCAGCTGCCGAAAGATGTCCTCTGCCTCAAATCCCCTTTCAACACTGCAGGGCACATGGCTGCTTCAGTGCCCTCGGCCCTCCTGCTACTCAAAGATGTCTAAGTAACACTCAGATATTGCCAAGTGTGGGTTAATGAAATCTGCCTTCCACAAGAGAGAGCTTTCTATGCCTGTCCTGTGCTTCCCAAGGCAACAGCTTTGTTCTAGAGGCAATTAGTATTGCCTGTCGCTAAATAAATACTTTTTTGTTGCTGTCGGACACAAAATAAGTCACACAGACGCAGCTCAAGATATGATGAAGGAAAGAGAGAACTTTATTTCTTCTCATAATTTACAGGTTTCTGACCATGGCCAGGGATTGGATAGTCGAGATAGCACCTTTCCAACCACACTGGCCATGAGAGATGTCCATCAAGAGACGTGTAACAGAAGGAATGTACACATATCTATGTTTACAGTTACTGTCCTGGGAAAGTTCTTTAGAAACTATGTCAACAAGCTCCAAAGCTGAGTTTTCAGGGTGACACTTTTTGGATTAGAACATTGTGCAGTTACATCCCAAAGGAATAGTAAGATTTTATGCATGGTTTTTGTTTTGAGATTTATATGTTCATTTTGTTAATGCTGACACTGGCTTATAGTCTCAGTCTGTCAGATGCCAGGACTTCTCAGTTCCGAAAGGCCTTGAATTGGAGAGCCCTCACATTAAGAGAAATTTGTTACCTGCCTAACACCAAAGTAATATAATGGAAGTGTGCCTTCTTATACTTCCCTGTTTTCATCGTGGGAGACATTGGGGGTGTGGCTGGGATTCCTCTCACCTAATGCCTACCTTGCAAACACTTGTAGGTTCAAACACATTGGAGGTTCACCTTCAGATGGGTGTCAAATATCCCCGGTGGGGAAAGTGAGCCTGTGGCTACCACTGTACAAGGTTAGAGAAAACATAGCCTGTCTTAAGTTCCAATTTTAGTAATTTTAGTATTTGGTAATTTTGGTAATTTTCGTTTTTAATTTTTTGTTCTTTAAATTCTATAGATTGGGTAATGCTTTTGTGAGGTGTAAGGCTAGAACATGTACTATGACCTGCCTTGTCTTGTTGGCAGTGGTCCCCAAAGTTCAGTGAGGCTAAACCATTCCTGTACGTCTTATGGGTGTGTTGGGAGCGATCCAGGAAATGATTTTACAATGTCCCGAAAAGGAAGAATGAAAATTCACATTCATGAATTTCAAGGCTTTAGCTTACATGTTATTTGATGACTTGTGATGAGATCAGCTAGCAGTGTGACTTGTTTTGCAACTAAAACTTTTTACCTCTTTTAAATTTGTCTGAATTATCATTCCAGTCACTGGACCTTACTACATCTTTTCACAGAGACTGTCACCTCTTCTTGGATATCTTTTCCATTTTCAGGTACCAGTATGCACATAATCTGTGAAGTTTCTCTTCAGCAAACTAAATATGCCAAACCCTGTAAAACACCTACCACAATGTTAACTCTTCAGCATCTAGATCCCCTTCTGTGACTTTCTTTGAACACTGAAGTATTTTGTTGTAAACAGAGACACCAAATTAGCAAGGAAATCTTGGTGTTATAGTATTAGATATACAGAGGTGAGACAACTTCCTCCATTCTAGTTTGTCTTCCCTTTACAGACGTCCAAAAGGTAATACTAATCTCTCTTGCCATAGCATTTTATCAAGGTTTCTTATTCAGGTAGTTTTCTGCACATTCTTCTGTGATTACTTCCAAGGCATTTTTTAACATGAGGATGTAGCCTGTATTTTTTTTCCCAGATGCACCACAGTGCAGTTAGCTACAATGAAATTATTTTGTTTGATAAACAAGGCAAATCAATGGATCTGTAACAGGAAAGTATTGCCAACCTTTAATAAAATCATCTGTTAACAGCAAGCTTTACATGAGTATCATATATGTCTGATTAATCAATAGAAATGTTAAATACTGTCTCACAGAGGGTCATTGGGAGTCCTATTGCTGCTGAAGGTTGTTGATGAGAATTATCTTAATGATGATAAGAAGGCTTAGCCAGTAATTTTTTTTCTTAATAATTAATTCCTATATTAAATTTTTGTGGGATATATAGGCTCTTCTGAGGTATTTTGGAGAACACAGTGCTTGCTATGGTCAAGCAAACAACTGGCTTATTTTTACTTTATTTTCAGGGAACATTGTTGATTGGAACAGTACATCTGAATTTCCAGAGTCTGGAGCCAAAAGAAGTAAGTTTCAAGTTCATGGTGTTACACAGAGGTGCCAGAGTTCACCTAAAACCTATGAGAGAGTTTGTATGAGTTTTAGATACACTGAGGACTTACAGCTTGCCTGGAAGTCAGTGGAACTGAGGAATCTAAGTAACCTAGAAAACTTTACCTGTATATGTACTTACATGCACACACACACTTTTATATACATACATACATATATATATATATATATATATATATATATATATATATATACCTTACAGTATGCATGTTGGGAATGAGATCAAATGCAAAGAAAAATCTCAATGTAAAAAAGTAAATATACTAGCAATGGGAAGCCCACTGATGCAGTGTTATAGTGTTGAGCTCTCCAGTGTTACAAACAAGCATTTGAGATTAGCATTTAAAGGTTTAAAAAAACCTTTAGCAGGGGTATGAGCAATATTAAGCAAAAAAACACCACAAATTGATTGGCAAGATTCAATCTACTACTTACAGGACAGTTAAGGCACAACAAGGGAAAACAAGTGACAACAAAACCAAAAAAATCCAGGCATTCAAAACAAAAATGAACCAAGAACTATTGGGGGGGGGGCAGGGGGGTGTATGTTTAGGTGCATGTGACAAAAGAAAGTGAGGCCAAGGATAAAAAGGAATACAACCTAAAACCTTAACAGCACTTTAACTTGACTTATACCTTAAGTCTTACAGACAAAGGATGTATTTGTTGTATTTCTATCTTCCTAACAAAGCACCTATGCCTAAGTCATTCCTGATAGACATTTGTCTTGGTTTTAATAACCTCCAATAATGAAAACTTGGCAATTTCTCCCAGGAACTTCTTCATTCTGACAGCTTTTTCCTGATGTCTACCCTGAAATTTTCCTTACAATTATCATTGCTTTTCCTTCATGATGGTTTTTCAAAATCATCAGGCACCACACTCCCCTACCAGTGTTCCCTTTACTAGGATAAACAATCCCACTTTATTATATATTTTTTGATTCTGGAACTTTGATTGTACTTGTTACGGTCTTCAGTTTTTGTGTATTCCTCTTAAATGTGATGACCAAAATCACATGACCAAATTTTGGTTGCAAAACCATATTTACAGCCTCCCTCACTTGTGGTCTGGGCTTTTGGTGATGATGGCTCCTACTGAAATACCACACCCTGACCCCTCCCCTCCAAAAAAAACCCACAGAAGAAACTGAAATACCTTGACCTGAAGAGCCAGAAGACTCTTTGTGCTTACCAACTTCATTTAACTTTAAACCTAGCAATGCAAAAGACAGAGACCTGGGCTTTGATTTGGAGTAGAAAACTTCAAGTTCTCTTCCTAAATCTGAAATAATATATCTCAGCTGTGGTGGTGCATCTCTCCTCCTCCTCCCCAGGCTGCTCTGCAACCTTAGGAATTCTTGTGAGGCCTCTGTCTTGATTAATGACTCTTGGGCAATTAAGCTCCCCTTGAGCCTATCAGAAACACTGTCTGTTCCCAGGAACTTCTGTTTTCTAACAGATAGCCTTGGAACATTATTTTGTCTGAATCATAGCCCAAGTGGAACAATATTATTGTTACTGAGGAAAGTTCAGTAATTACCATTTTGGATAGTTTGCAGGCAGGATGGAGACTGACAGATGATTACAGCCAAACCTTTGGTCACCCTATAACCTGAAGTCTTGAGTGAGGCTCTTTGAGTTTCCTGGGCTGCAGCATCTCCCTAAGAGTGGGATGCTTTCTCAGTGCTTGTCAACTCTCAAGCTCAAGATAATTGGAGGAAGATGATGATGGAGCCTGGACTTGTAATACACTGCTCCAATTCTTTTTATTATTTGAGGTATTTCACCAAACTTGAGGAGAATTTTTAACAGTGAAATTTAAATTTCCCTTTCAGGAAAGGGAATGAAATCTTGCAATTTCAATGAGGATCAAGTGGGCAAGCTGTAGTCCCTATTCCTGCACTTTATGACATCCCATTCGCTTTTCTTGTTTTCACCTCCTATCGGGTTTTTTGAGTTTTGTTTTTTTTTTTTTAATTTTCATTTATTCTGTTTCTCTTCTTTTTGTTTCCCTTTCTTCCCTGACTTGAAGGATTTCAATGGGAATAATTTTGTCATGATTTGGTCCTGTTCACTGCACCTCATTTCATCTCAGTTCATTTGATTGTAGTCACCCCAAATTTTCTGGTTTCTTCAATTTCATTTTTGATTGACCATATG